TGATCCCTCTGTTCATCTGGAGAGGCCCTACTCACGATCCCACCTGCATCGCAGGCGTGTTTGGTGGGGACGAGGGACAGGGCCTTCTCTGTGGTAGCCCCCCGACTCTGGAACTCTCTCCCCAAGGACATCAGACAAGCCCCAACGTTGGCAGTCTTTAGGAAGAGCTTGAAGACCTGGCTGTTCCAGTGTGCCTTTCCAGAATAGGAAACTCCCAGCATCATGTCCTAAACACACTTTATTAGAGATTTAAGATTGTCTGCACTCGCGCCTACCCCTAAAATCCTTACATTTCACCTGTCATGCCCAGCACTTTTAATTTTATTCATTACATTTGGCCCAGCCTTTAGTTTTTAATGTGTCATGATGTTATTGTTTTAATGTTTTACTGTTATTGCTTTAATGTTTATTGGTTTGCTTTATGAGTTTTATTGTTGTATTTGTTATGCTGTTGTTTTATTGTGGGCCTTGGCCTTTGTAAGCCGCACCGAGTCCTTCGGGAGATGTTAGCGGGGTATAAAGAAAGTTAATAAATAATAATAATAATAATAATAATAATAATAATAATAATAATAGTTGTTAGGGGCCCACAAGATTCTTCATTGCTTTTGCTTCAACAGACTTACATGGTGAATTTACTGAACAGTTATCCCAATGTTAGTTGCCAGAATTAACTAGCATTTCTTCTTTCTCAGAATTTGGGTTTTCTCACCAGTTTAAATGGTCACTGTTTGATGAACCTCAGTGAAAGCATGCAAAAAAACCAAACAAAAACAAAACAAAACAAAACAAAGAGAGAGAGAATTTACAAATCCTAGAAACTATTATCCAGCATAGCCTAAGATTCTGCCCAAGGTCTAAAAATAAAAAAATCTCAGAAAGGGACCAATAGATTAGATGGAGGGTAAAACAAACATGCAATACCTCATCGTTCACACGTGTTTTTTTTGCTGAAAAGGAAGAAGTGAGAACTGAGAAATGAAAAAATGGGATCTAAACCCACTCCTAATAGATAAGCAATATGTATCAGAGTCAAAGTCCACAGACGTAACTGCTTTCTTTTGAAATGTCTAGCAGTCCAAAGGATTATGGATGTCTAAATCTATTCAACTGGAGTGATGAATCTTGACTTCCTATCAAAACCTGATAATAAAAATATTCCTCTTGGATTTATTGTGAATGAAAACAGCCTTGGGAACTTGCAGGTTTATGGATGAGTGTTGAGAGAGTTATTTAGAAAAGATGAAGAAAATATACAAAATCTATTCTAGAATGAACTGGTTCCACAGTGTGGTTTTGTCTGTGCCAGCTCTGTTTACTTTGGCTGAGGCAAGTAATGGAAAGGGAGAAAGGCCAAAGCTTAACACTTCATGCAGAATGCCTCACTGCCTACCAGGAGCCATGTTTGCCAAAGAAAAAATAACAGATGTTCAAGCTTGTCAGATGCAGTTATAAGAAGGCCTGCAGCACATAACAGAACTTAACATCTAATTTTTCAAGTGTATAATAATGGGAGATGTTGATGTGCTAATACTGTCAGTTATCCTCGGTTTTTAATGAGCTGTTTCATTGTTTTTATTGTTTTATTGTTTCCTTTCTTTTCTCTAACATATTGGTTTTGTTATATCTGATTTTGATGTAATTTGCATTAAGATTTCCAAAATGAAAAGCAATGTAATAATAAACAAAACATTAATGGAACATAGAGTTTAGACTTGCAGGTTTGTCAGGACAGTTGAACATATTGGGTGTAGCCATAATTGTAAGATCACAGTCACATAAACTGATCTCTTGCTCACCTGCTCAGAGCGAAAGAGAGAGAGAAAAGGGAGAGACTGAGGGCACTTCCAGACAACACTAAATCATGGGTTTTAAACAGGGGCAAAAAATCCTGGAACTTCAAAAGATGTCTACATACAGACCTGTTGGTCACAGAATTTCTGCCTCCATTGTCCAGACTTGATGTTTTGTTGCAAGATTTAGAGGCTCTCAAGATGGCCACCATGGGACTTCCGCTGGAAACTTTGGTGTTTTTCTTAAAAAAAAAACCCTCAAGATGTGGATATGCAGATATGCGGAGAATCACTGCAGTAAATAATAATAATAATAATAATAATAATAATAATAATAATAATAATAATAATAATAATACTTTATTTATACCCCGCTACCATCTCTCCATGGGACTCGGTGCGGCTTACATGAGGCCGAGCCCAAATACAACAATACAAGCAATAATAACAACAATACAAGCAATTAAAATCAAACATAGACAATAAACATAGACAATAAACAAATCACCAGAAAAGTTCAGTTCTTTTTCTGGGCCAGAGAAAATGTGCCCTCTACATGTTTCATGAAGTTTCTGGCACATAAACAAAGTTTTTGCCTTCTACTCAAGTGCCACCTTCTTTTTAGGAACCGACTAGTCAGGAACAAGCATCTAAAGTCCAGGAACAACCCCAGATTAAAAAAATACAGTGATTTCCGATTGCATACAGACATATGAAGATCCACATATTCGGCTCAAAACCATGATATTCCCACACCTAGAAATCTCACAATTTTGGCCTTTTGTAGAGATTGCTTCTGCGTTTGCAGGGAATGGCATCTGGCCACTCTCCTATTTGCTACAGAAGCTCCTGGGATAAATGTACTGTCTGGGTGGCCCCTGAGAGATAGAGGAAGAGAAAAAGAAGTGGGACATAATGGCAGACAGGACAAGCAAATTGTTCATTAATATCTTGCCTTCTCCCCAAGATGGGCTTCATGGCTTTTGTGCCATGGGGTAGCAAATCAGTTGCAGGGCTGTCAAGACTATAAAGGAGCTATCAAAGGGGCTAAAGGTATTGAAGGTTCAGAGTTCAGCACTGGAGATATCTCTTTTAAAAGCCAAAGAAGATTCTATTTGTTTTTTATTGTTGTTTTATTGTTTTATCCCACTTCCACCCTCCCCTTCTTGTACATGAAATTTATACAGCAAACTACAGAAGTTACATTTGAAATATCAATCTCAGCCTTAATTTTTCTACTCCACATCTTAGCACATCTCAATTTGGAACCCCACAGTCAACACTAGGAGAGATAGGGAAAAAAAGGTTTATCTGGGTAGGAGAGTAGGAACAAGGTGGGAGTTTAATGGGGGCATTGCCCCTTAAATATAAATTTTGCACCCCAATGGAATGTACCCAATTTTTTAACACAAGAGAGAGAGAGAAAGAGAGAGAGAGATCACACACACTAGAACTCTTAGTTTGTTCTGTTCACATTTTGTTGATAACTTTGCCTCACTCTTTTCTTTGGATCCCTAAATTGTAGATATTCAACTGAAGTTTTCAGTTAGTGCAATGATAAAAATATGGGGAATGAAGAGACATTTCACCAGGGAGCAAAATTCTTATTACTTGCCCCAATTTGTCTCACTTTTCCAACTTCTGTCTTCCTTGGAAGATCTAGTGTGGAGCAATGGTTTCAGTGTTGGACTGGGATTCTGGGAGACCGTGGTTCAAATTTCCATTCAGTTATGGAAATTTATTAAGTGACTTTAGCCAAATCACACACTCTCAGTCTTAGAGAATAAATTTTGCCAAAAAAACCCCATAATGAGGTCACCATAATCAGAGCCAGTGTGAAGGCACAGAAAACAATAGTCTGATCTGGGATGACATTTAGTTTATTAGCTCTTATCTGTCCCAACTCAGGGCTGCTGTTTGAAGTATCTAATCTCCTCACCTGGATTAAATACAAATGAGAAGCAGAGTTGAGTGTCAGCAGCATTTCAGCTCACTCCAAATCTCTGCAGGACCTCAACCGATAGTTTTGTGTGGATGCTATGTTGTTAGAGGTAATCCAGAGTATATCCGGGCTCATTTCCTTATCTGCAGTAATCACAGAGCTCTGTTGATACAAGCCTAGATAACATCAATTTACAGCAGCTAATGATTTCCCAGTGGCAAGTTTCCTTCAAAGACTCTTTGACCTATCTGAAATAATCTCCTACTAATGCAATTCTAAAGGACAATAGGAAATGTACAAGAGAAATGCCTCATTAAGAGAAGTGCACTTTCATTCCCAAATACTTTCATTCCCAAATACTACAAGTATTCACAACATCTATTTATTACTTTACATTTTAAACTAGGGATGAGATACTGAATTTTTCCCTTAGAGGAAAAATAGATTATTACTAGTCATCAAGGGAAAAGATCCTTTTCAAAATAGCTCTGAAAATCCCAAAGCTTATAGGTAGACTGCTATAAATAAATGTTGTGTTCCTTCCAATGGGAAAACAATAAGATTTTCATGGCATTATTCCCAAACCACTTAAAGACAGTATGGTGCTTTGGAGAGTGTGCTGCTCTGATGTATAGAAAGCAAACCAAAGTTAAAATCTCAACTCAGCTGTGAGTGTATATTAGGTTCTCAAAATTACAACGAACCAAAAATGTTGCTCGGAATGAAAGCAGAACATACACATGAACTATTATGTAAACTCCATGAGATCCCTCAAAAATTTAAACATACTGTTATTATTATAGTTTTGCACAGTACAAAACACATAATTCTAAAAGAAACCGAGCAGGCAGAAATGCATAAGGAATTTTAAATGCAAAGGTGGGTTGAACATGGATATCAGGTACGTACAAATTCCCAAGTGAATGCTTTCTGTTATCTGCAATAGGCTGCATCATAAAACAAAGAAAGAAAAACAGATAAAAGTCTTTCATTCACTATGGACTTTATGGCATGATATCACTATCTGATGGCATTTGTGTAATTGGGGATCATGGCAACTTACTGACACAGGGACCCTCATCATCATACCTCTGTAAGCATTGCACAATTGCAATGTTTTGGCAGTGCAGAGGTCTGCACCTCTGGATGAGCAACGTAACTCCACCTTTCTCCTGTGCTCCTTCTCCCCCCTCCCACAAATGTTTTAAAGACTTTGAAATTCCATGGAAGTAAAAAAATAAAATCATTTTTTTCTTTTGCAGTGAGGGGAGAGTAGAAGAGGAGGACAAACCTGTCCCTCGATTCACTGGCCTGCTGACACAGAAACACCCGGAAATGAGAAAATGTCCCTCTGAGTCTGACACAACATCACATTAAACTAGGTAAGCTCGGTGCACAGTTCTAGTAACTCAGTATTCCTAATTTGGGGTGCCAGGTTTCCGAAATGCTTTGACAAAACCCATAGAGCTTAAAATGTCCAGATTCTGGTGTATGAAGGTATATGTAGGGCCCGAAGCTAAATCTTTGTGTGAACATGTAAGAAACTCTTCTTTACTTCTAGGTCCTTTCTGAGCAGCGTAAACACACACTCACTATTCTTGATTCCACAAAAACTGTGGTTTTTCTCCCAGTGTTTTACTTTTTTACTAAAATTATTTTCTGTGTGAACCCTCTTACACTTAAAAAAACCGTTTATATTAAAAAGTCCCTTCAGATCTGAACATGTGACAAAAGTTCATCAAATGCATAAACTCATCTTTATAGTATATCTTGAAATGAAGCTATCTAATAATACATGTGTATGTGTATGTAACAATTTGCTGATATTCTAAACTAAACTGGGCTATTACTGCAGGAACTTTTGAATTCGTCAAGGTTCCTGCAATCATAGCCCAGGTATGTGAATAAGACATGCCCCACTCCCATGAAAACCTAGAATTCTGGATCTAAGACTCACCAAAAAAAATTCTATATTTTTGGAGTAAAAAACAAGTAGACATTTGAGGGAGAAACATGCATAAATTGAAATAAAAATGTTTCTGGAAGTGCCAGGTTTTCTCTTATCTCTCCTGAGACCATGCTTGAGTGAATGCCCAGCAATTTCATTAGAAACATTTGCATTTTGATTCTTTTCATCACATAGTTTCATGTTTGAAGCTACAATCTTTATAGTGAGAAAACGGAATATAATGATGATGCCTGGGGCAATGTTTTAAGAAGAAAATGCTTTTAAAGAATGTATGCACATATCCAGACTTGTGTAATCTCCTTGTTTGTGTTGGTCTTGTTTGTGTGAGACTTCATCAAATCAGAGTAGAAATTAAAATTTCAGGAAGCAGGTTGAGAGCAAAATAATGTTTATGTTAATTGTATCTCTATCTTTGCAGGAGATGAACATGGTTTAAGGAGAGTGTTGTTGGCTGCAGAGCTCAAAATAGCAACCGACACTTTAAATCCAGCTGTGGGAAACCAAGAAAAGTGTGAAATTATTATAATTGAACAGAAAATATTGCAAGAGGTCAGTATGAAAATAAGACTGCTTTAAATGCCATTTCAGAATCCACTATAAAGTTCTCAAACTGGTGGTTCCTGAACAAGTAAAATTCTTGTTTTTGGTCTACCTGCAGATAAAAAAGTGAAAAGTAATATTTACACATTATTGACTGCGTGTAACTTTGTATTGTGGTCATTTATATTATTTTATTGCTGCACTGGAATGATGTTTCATTGCTGGTAGTTTGCACAAGAGAAGCCAGTATGACTGCAAATGTTATACATCCTTTGTCGAAAGTGATTGTGAAGATCTTTTTCTCCATCTCTCCAAATTTTAGAAACCCAGGGTCACATAATGCATTGGTTCTTAGCCTTTGGTCCTACAGATATCTCTAGGTTTCAGGTTCCAGAAGTTCCATCCAGCATGGCTTATGTTTAGGAATTCTGGGAGTTGAAGACCAAAAAATCTGGAGGACCCACGGTTGAGAAAAACTGTTCTAGAGAATGGTGGAATGATCAAAAAGGTGTGGAGAAAAACTGGGTTTTATTATAATAACAGGGAAAATATATATAGCTGAAAGAAAATGGTTTTTATTGGCTGCTAGCATATGTGCTTGCATTGCCTGGATATCAAAGGGACCTGTCCACCTCCTTTCTCCCAACTTCAGCTCTGAGAAGGTTCACCTCACAATGGCAATGCTCGGGCAAAGGTGGGCAGCCCCTCTTTGTGGGTCTTTCTTTCCTTCCTCCATTTCCCTCATACACCCTCTTCTGCTCTTTTTTCTTTCCCCTTTTCTCCTGCTTTCTTAAATATACCCCCAATCTTCTTTCACTTTTTCTTTCCTTCCTCTTCCTTCCTTTCTCTTCCTGTCTTTTTCTTTCTTCACCCCCTTCCCTCAACCTTTCAATTTTCCCTTCCTTTCTCTTCCTTTCTCATTTTTCCTTCCCTATCCTCATACTTTTCCCCTTTCATTTCTTTCCTTCTCTTCTTTATCTTTCTTCCCCCTCTCTTCCTTCTCCCATCCTTTCTTTTACCTTCTTTCTCTTTCTTCTTGTAGTTTGTGAAGAATCTGATGTTTCAGAGGATGAGGTAGGGGATTTTGTGGGGTCTCAGGAGGGGTTTTGGGGGTATAGTAGTGGCATGGAGAGATGTGTTACTGAATCTCCTGATAGTTTTCAGCATGTTAGAGAAAGCAAAATCTGTTTCCATGAGAATCGGCCAGAGTTTGCTCCTGAGAGGAATGTAAGTGTGAGTTTTTTCCCTAGGTCAGAGTGGCTGCACCTGCAACAAAAGTGTGAAAGAGAGACAGACTAGCTTTTCCCAGTGGCTTCAAGATAAGCAGCGAAGAACCAGGTGTACAAGGAGCAATGTTATGGGAGGGAATTGAAACTTTTAAGTGGGCTCCAAGCTGATCGCTCTTTGTGAGAATGTCATTGCATTTCAACTCTTAAATTCTATGACCTTGCTTCAAGTTTCTGGATTTTGGATCTTGTTCATGTTTGCTTGCTTAAGTTTCGAGTTTCTGGAATTTAATTCTTGTTCATGTCTTCATTGTTTTTGGTCTGGTTTATTCTTTGTTTTGTTCTCAAGTTCTGGATATAATTTTGATCAAGTGTATGGATTTTGCCTTTTTGACTCAAAGTGTAGTTCCAGGTTTTTGGATTCCTGTAGTTTGATTCATGAAACTGATTGTCACCTATACTCCGCAACTTTGGAGTTTCTTGATTTGACTTTTGCATTTTTGATGTCTCTTTTTATTGTGCTTCTTACATATTTTTCTTAATAAACTTTACTTAGTGGTGTGTCTCATCCTTGCATGGTGTATGGGTGAAAACGTGTCCCATGGCTGGGGCGCAACACTTCCCTCCTTCTTCTCATGTCCTCCCACCCTCCTCTTTCATTTTCTTTTTTTCTCTCTCGCCTTCCCCTCATTTGATTTTTATAAATATCGCTCATAATTATTTATTTCCTGCCTTTCTTTTCCTCAGTACTGGAACTCAAAATAGATTACAAATTAAACCAATACAGATTAAAAACATTCAAAATTATATCTCTGAATGTGACTATTTTAAAAATGATGATACACTCTGTAAAATAAAACTATTCAAAGTTCTTGAAAAGGCAATATAAAAATCAGTAAAACACACACTATTAAAACCCATCGTGGTCATTTCCTACAAAGGAAAAGTTCAATTGCAGAAAGACAGAGAGCAAGGAAGAGACCACTCCTAACCTCTCCAGGGAGGGAGTTCCAAAGGGTGGGGTATAATAACTCCTTAATGGCCGTCTGGGCAGGGGGGTCAAAGAATCCCACCGCTGCCACCAAATTATAAAGACTCCTTAATACTATTTGGGCAGGGGTCAAAGCAAACCCACCACTGCCACACCAATTATAATAACCAGGCAGATGGCAATGTGATCATTCCCACCATCTACCCCTAATTATAAAGGCAGTCTTTATGGCCAAACAATATCACTGGACAGGGGGCAAACAGATCCCAACACTGTCCCTCCTTCAATAAGGAATTCACACCACTTTGGCTCTTATAGCGTTTGAGGGGATGTCTCTTTATTTAAAACCTTCGCTGCCACCATAAACTGAAGAATCACGAACCCTCTAGCTATTTAGAATGTTAAAAGGCTTTTTAAAACCACTTCTAGGACCACCAAATATTGTATATTAACAAGGGCTTCTTTGAGGGGAAACAGGTTGAGGTTGAATACCCTGAAAAGGAACTGAATCTACAAATGGCACATGACTCAGGCTTAAGTGTTGAAAATAACAAGAAAGAGTTTATTGAATACAAGTTACAGAATAAAAGTGAATGCAGGTTCAGAGGCTTGGCTGTTACAATTAAAGTGTTCTTGGTTCTTAGAAGCGTAACGGTTGCTTGAGAGAATGGATCTATTCTTTGTTACAATTTCCTAAACAAATCCCAGCTATTTCTTTTCTATTATAGCTGTAACCAGTCTGCCACAGCCTACTTTGCTGTGCAAACTACAGGCAAGCTGCCTATTCCTAACAGAGACTCCTAAAACTCTAATCCTACTCTAACATCACCCAGAACTGAACTGAACTGTCAAAATAAGCTGCTCTCTTTCCCTCCAACTGGCTAACTCCGCCCCCTTTTCCAAACCAATCCTGGCTGTTGCTGGGCTGGCTCAGGCCTAGGCCACTCCCCCTCTCTGAACTGGAGTCTTCCCTAAACTAAGATGGCTCCTGCATCTCTCTGCCAGGCCTTCTAAGCTGAAAACTACCTAGCCTGTCTCTTCCTGGGCCCTGCCACCCCCGGCTGGCAAGGTAAGGGATCTTCACATTCCCTCCCCACCTCAAGATGGTTTGCGGAGTGAAAAGGTTTGCAGACCTTTTCCGAAGCATAGCCTAACACTATACTAGGCCTAACTAACCCCCCTTACTATCTATTCTAGCTAATCTATCTATCTATGTACATACCTACATTTGCAATAAACACCTTTTGCAATAAAACATTTAGGCAATAAATACATTTTGCAATCAATATATACCATAAATACATTATACACAATAAATACATTCCTGTAGGGAAAAAAACATGTTAAATACATTATAACACTGCATATAAACTATCTAGCATAGTAAATACCATACCTTTTCCATGGAATGCCTCCTGACATTCTATGTACATATAATCTCTATACTCACATCTAACTACATTTTGTCTATTAGCAAAACCTACACATCTAACACACCTCAATATAATACATTTCTACATCATACCTATTGTATGAAATATATATAGTTCCTCAATGTAATAACACTATATACTTTACAAGACTGCAATTGACCAGATTAACCAATTCTTAAACAATACACTATCCTATATCTACATTATCTTTCTATAATAACACCTTCATTCAGCAATGGGTTATTTTGGTCTGGCCCTTGTAGATAATAAAGTTGTTTGTTCCTTTTTTTTTTCTTCACCCAATTCCAATTCTCCTCCCCCTACTACTCAGTCTCAAATGACAACCGGCCAGTCCACTTTTTACAGTATTACACTCTTTTGCAGTCTTTGACCCTATCACATAAGGTTCTTCCCAAGAAACCTCCAGTTTCTTTTTAGATCTTGGTTCTAAAACCAGGACCTCATCTCCCACATCAAAACATTGGTGTCTTGTGTGAAGATCCGGCTGTTCTTTCTGCTTCAGCTGGGCAGTTGACACACTCTCGGCTGAGCAGTCTCTCATGGTGGTTAAATGTTCTCTTAAGTCCTCGATGTAGCTGTTGATATCACTCTCCGGAATGTCNGCGTGTAGATCCGCCTGTTCCTTCTGCTTCAGCTGGGCAGTTGACAAACTCTCGGCTGCGCAGTCTCTCATGCTGGTTAAATGTTCCCTTAAGTCCTCAATGTAGCTGTTGATATCACTCTCCGGAATGTCCTCTGCTCCTGTCCATGCTTCCTTCAAAATGTCCATAGGTCCTCTTGGTGTTCTCCCATATAGCAGTTCAAATGGGCTGAACTTGGTGCTGGCTTGTGGAACCTCCCGATAAGCAAACAAGAAGTGTTGTAGTTTCTTGTCCCAATCATTAGGGTTCTTGTGGACGTACGCCTTCAGCATGTGGTTGAGGGTACCGTTGAATCTTTCCGTCAAGCCGTTGGTTTGAGGATGGTATGGAGTAGAAGTAAGATGCTTGATCTTGCAGGTCCGGAACAGCTCTTGCATCATCTGGGACATGAAGGTGGCTCCAAGATCTGTGATGATAGATCTGGGAAAACCCACGCGTGCAAATACATTGAGCAGCGCGTCTGCCACTGTTTTGGCGTCCGTTTCCTTCAATGGAATTGCCTCTGGGTATCGCGTGGCAAAGTCCACGGCAGTCAAGATGAATCTATGTCCATCAAGCGTCTTGTGGGACATAGGGCCAATGTTGTCTACTCCGACCTTGTCAAAGGGAACAGTGACAACTGGAATGGATTGTAACAGTCCTTTTGTCTTGTCTTTGGCTTTTCCCACCATTTGACAAGTCTCACAGGATTTACAATAGGCTGTCACATCACCTCCCATTCCAGGCCAAAAAAATCTTGACTGTATGCGATCTTTGGTTTTCCTGATACCTAGGTGTCCACTGAATGTGGTATCATGGGCTAGCTTGAGGATTTTAGCCCTATACTTTTGTGGAACTACCAGTTGTGTTCTTTCCTCAAAGAATTTGGGACCTTTCTGTCTCCTCACAACTCGGTACAATTTATTCTCCACAACTTTCAACATAACTGGATTTTCACTTGTGGGTGTGTGGTTTTCTGGGACCACTTCATCCCATAAGGGTTTTAAGCTTTCATCACGTCGTTGAGCTGCTTCAAACTGCCTCATATGGCTTTGGCTCAAACTGAAGGGAATTTCTTGGCTGACATTTTCATTTTGTGAGGTAGATGGTTGCTCATCTGTAACAGTGTATTCAGCCTCCCTATCTCGTTCAGCTTGGCTTCTGG